TCCTCTTTATTCTCTCTTCATCCTCTTCTTTTCTCCTTCCTCTCATCCCCCAGCCCCTCCTTCAGCAACCTCTTTATATCTATCCTCCCCTGCATCCTTCTCCTCTTCTCTCTAATCCCTTTTCTTCTATGCACTCCCATTTTTCCTTCTTCCTCCCCTTATCCTCCTCCTCTTCTTTCCTCATTCATCCACTCCTCATCATAATTCCTCTACCTTCTCCTCCCTCCCCACCCTGCCTTTTCCTCTATCCTCCCCATTTCCTTCGTCCTCTGTTTACGCTCACATTCCTCTTCCAGTTCGACCTCCTTGCCTTTTTTCCTCCCTTTATCTTTCTTTTCCTGTTCTTTCCATATCCATTCCCATTTTCTCCCTTTTCCTCTCTCCACTCCTTCCTCTTGTTTCCTGCACTTCCTCCTCATCTTCTTCTTGCTATGTCTATGCCTCTCTTCCTCTTCCAGGCCCTCCTCTCTTTTCCTCTCTTCACTTCTCTTCTCTCCTCCTCTCCTCTCCTCCTTCCTACAGTTTTCTCCCTCTTTCTCCACCTCATGTTACTCTTCTTCCTGTTTCTTTCTCCTTCTGATTCTACTCCTCCCAGCTCTTTCCTTCTGTCTTCCTCCTCTCCTCCTCATCTTCCTTCTCCTTTTCAACTACAATCCCCTTTTTTCTTTTAGTCTTTGTACATCCTCTTTCTCCTCACTGCTTCCTCTTCTCCCTTTTTTTGCTAACTGCCTCCACAGTTTCAGCCTCACCTTGGTTATACAAGCAGTATTAAAGAACAAGAGTGTGTGTGTGTGTGTGTGTGTGTGTGCTCAGCACTCCGCCAGTGGCTGCTCAGCGTTCCCTTTGTGGCTGGAATAACAGCAGGCGACAGCTTACACCTTGCTGAATACCGCCACTAACAGTGTGTCGACAGCATAACGCCTGTGTCTAACGTGTGTGTGTGTATGTGCGAGAGAGAGCAAATCTGAAGCTACCTTGCTACCTATTCGACTTAATAAAGGAGAGTCTCTGTAACCATTACCCCCACAGCCATGCAGAACAAATTACATTTAATGGGGTTTCTTTGCCCCCACAGTCGTTTTCACCGTTCGCTTCAAAATTTCAATTTAGTGCTTAATGCTAAGGTTTCCTTCAACGTATTATAGAGCAATATTATACCAATTACGGCGTCTGCGAACATTAAATTAAATGCATTAGTACAATATTGGAGAGAAAGGCAGCCGTTTGAAACAAGTTCTGTTCCAAAGCGATGCGGGCAAATGATCCGGGATATGAAAGCTGCGCAAAGAGGCTTGACATCAAAACGCAATTATGTTTGTTGTCTTACAGTTTTATCTGTGCTGAATCATTTACTTTTTTATATTCCATATGGATTCTGTGGAGCTGACACTGTTTTCATTTAACACGGTGCAAATCACTGAATGAATACTGACTCAGTGTGTTAGAGTGTGGAGGTTCTATCAAAATCCTCTGAGATTAGAGTTCACAGGAGACAACTGGCCTGATTAGCATCCGGAACAACTTTTGGTCCTAGTTTCTATGCTTCAGGGGGTGCTAGTGTACTTACACTTTTACCTCCAGTTTGTTTTCACAGATATAATATAAAACTTATACTATATAATAATATATAAGATATAATGTACTGGAATGTCAGTGAAGTGAAGGGAGCGTTTGATGTCACCCAAAGATGTCTGAAGGAATGTTGGATGCCTGGATTTAAGGTTTTACTGCTATTTGTCATCTTTGTCAGTTTGTGCAAAATTTTGAGAAGTACATGGACCCTGCGTGGAGCTGAGGTGTGACCAAGCCCTGAGGAACAGCACTAGGCTTTGCATCAGTTTTGGCCTCCATTGAAATTTCTGGTCACATGATGTGCCTGGGCCTAGAAGGACTTTTTCTGAAGTTCCTCATAGGGCCTGATGAAGGGACAGTCAGGTCAAAATGTTTCCTCATTAGTTAAAATATGAGTTTGGGAGCTATTTTGTTTTTTACTCTGCTTTTTCCTACGGAATCAGCCATCCTGCACCTGGCTTATTAAGACACTTGTTGTTATTAATTAAATTGTTTCACTAGGCTTATTGGGAATGTATCAAATTATAATAATACAAAGTAGTGTGGTAGTTTGGTACATATCGATTCTGAATATTCTATATTGCATATAACGGTTTTAATACTCATTTTACGCAGTGTCGATACAAAAAATGCACTGAAACTCTCACAGTCTGCCAACATAGCCCCACCTCGTCTCGCTTACAGCGCCGTATTCTCATCTCGTTTGCCCCGGTTGATTCACTTTCTTTCCCCTGCCAGAGTTTCAACAAGCAAAGCACCTGCAGGACCAACACTCCGACCTCTATAAAGAACTTTGAGAGGTTGGAGATGTTTCAACATCACTGAAGTATTAAACAATATGGCCCAGTAAACTGTTAAGCTGGTTATCCTGTTGTTCAGCCAATAAACATCAGACACAGCAGACTGTCAGTTGATAGGAAAATACATTAATAAATTAAATGATTCTGTTCTGCTAGACAAACAGTTCTATTAACTTGACTTAATTTCTACGAGAAGCTGATTAGATCATTTAGTTATTAAATTCAGTAATTTAATCAAGGTTGTGTCAAATCCCCCCTGTGGTAGCGAAAATGGTATTGAATATCGATATTTTTAAGGTATTGTATCAAAATTAGAAATTCCAGTATCGTGACAGCACTAATGCAAAGAGTAATTTCTCAACACATCTATAGGTGGAACCCATGTGACTTAAATGGCTGTCTTTGGGGTTGCAGCTTGGTTTAAACTCTGTACATTAATCCTTTGAAGGCATCAGGGCTGTTCTTGTCAAGGAGTTTGGTAGATTTGGTGAAGTGTGTCATCGAACTAGGGTGTGGTCAGAGTTTGAAACAAACAAGATGAGCAACGGGAGTCATCATGACACCATCCATCACATGCAAAATATGGAGAGGCACTGTAAGTAACAGAAGCTCCGGGATTTATGGTGTTGTCATTGGATACAAGTTGCTTAATTGATAAATAGTAGAAGGATTGTGCAGTAATGACTCCCTCATCCAAACTATTAAAGAAAGTAACCTTTAGTATCAGTATTTCTTATTCCTTTCCAACACTGATTGAACCCATAAGCATGATAGAGTTAGTGCCTTCCTCACCACTTTACACCAGCAGGGAGTCATCATAATCCTCCAGACATTCTCTCAAAGGCCACGTGTGACCTGTTTGCTGCCCAGCGAGGGGTGGAACCAAGAAGTTCAGTGGTGGAAGCAGTGAGGGTAAAGACAGAGAAGGAAAGAAAAAAAAAAAAAAACAGATGGCTGGATGGGGACCAAGCGTGGACCGGTCACGTGACGGGCGGCGTGCCATGGAACTTCCTGCTCGCTCTCCCTTTCTGTCACAGCAGTTGGTGTCACTACTCGCGCCGTCTGCGTGAATTCGAGGCCCTGGCTGAACAGATTGGCCAGTCGGCGAGGATCATTCGCAGAAAACTCTGCTAATCTCCCACCGGCTGCCTCGACCACACTCACATACACTGTCTCTCTTTCTTTCTTTCTTTCCTCTGTGCAGACTTCTCGTCAAAACTGTGTCGAGGGAGGGCAGAGGATTTAGAAAACATGTCATCATGAGCTCCGTTCCAAACCAAGATATCCACCATTCGGGGAAAAAAAGAAATACCTACTCTTACTAAATAATGCTTTTAAGTTTTTGACCATCTTAAAGGGATATTACAGCCTAAAATGTACCATGTTTTAGCATGTCACTTTAGCACGAATCTGGACTGCTTTGTGTATTACCCAGCTACTAGATGCAGAAACAATTTCCTTTTGAAACATCTAATAATTCATGACTTAAAATAGGTATATAGGTGGGTCATTTTCAAAGACATTATGAGGTGATGTTTTATCAGAATAAAACAAAGTAACCTTTATTTACATAGCATTGTTTGTGCATAATGACGTTCATATTTATGTGTAAAGCACCATTTTATAACATTTCAGTTCAGAGTGCTTAACAAGGGAGACAAAAGGCATTGTAGAAGAAGAAAAATAGAAAACAGCAGAGGCACTAAAACAGCAGAGAGATACAATACAATAAAAAAATCACAATGCAATGTGCTCCCAATAATGCAATCCACTGTCAAGTTCCACTATAAAGTTAAACTTTATTGTCCCCAAAGGAACGTTTGTCTTGCAACCAGTTTTAGGATAGAACACAAAGAGTTTTAAGAGACAAAATATATATATTACAAAAATAGGAGAAACAAATAAGAAACATACACCATGCAAGCTCACATAAAACAATGGACATGAAGTGACAGCAAAAGTGCATCATGCCATCATCAGAGTTAAAACAACGCAGAGCAATGCTGATGCTTGCACCTGAACTTCACATTTTTGCTCAGACTGAAGAGGAGGAGACACTTTTCCACCACAGCAAATCCACAATGACAACCCTTTCTGCATTGATACTATAGAAATACTATATGGTTGTATACAAAATACCTGGAAATGGATCTTACATTTTCTTATAGCCATTCTGCTGTCAAACATATTTATTTTACTTTAATCATTTAAATGTAGGCTTACTGGAGCATATGCTTGCACTTTTGCAGCTGGAAAATATAGGAAAAAATATAAAACATATATTGGATCAGACTTATTATTGGATATGGCTGACTATTAAATTACTCTGATCAGGTACAGTCTGATCAGGACTGGTTCTGGCTTTTGGGGCCCATGTCAACTTGAGTCCATGGGCTTGTGCCTGGTAAGGCCATTTGGTTAACCAAAAAGTTTTCACATTTAATTAATTAGAAAATACAATGCAGTAATGCTTCAAAGCTTTCATTTATGATGGCTGGTTTCCAAGTTAAATTCAAACAATGCTGTGAAAGTACTTATTTCAAAAATGTTTAATTCTTTGTCCTCTGTTTTTTTCACTTCCCTCCACAAATGACTCCTGTTTCCATCTTTCTCTGTGTCTTCCTTCAGCATTCTTCCTCCGTCCAGCCTTTTCTTTTTTTTCTGAGAGCCGAGCGGAGCAGAGCATGAAAGTGACTTCTTCGATCATCTCTGCAGCCCGCGGCGTCCTGTTCAATCCCTCCATCGCCATGATGGACTTTAGGGTCACGATTCGCTTCCTCCTGGAAACTTGCCTTGACTGAGAGGAGTCTTAAGATGGTGAGAACACACACGCACGAATGCACACACTTGTGTACACACACTGGCAGGGGCACAATACAGATACATTGTGCACACACTCTCTCAGACCACACACGAGTACTCACCTAAAAATACATTTGTTCACACACACAGACATTCACAAATCACCCACACACATGAAAAGACACACAGATAACTCACACAGTGTTACTTTGCCACTTTGTAGCACTTTACTGTGTTCAGATGACTTTTTAGGGATGGTGTTTCTTAGTGTTTTTGTTTTACAATTCTTATCAGTATGTTTTAGTAGCTTCATTGACTTATAATGTAATTTAGTTATTGGATAATTTAGTTAATTTTAAAGTCAGACAATAGTACAGTATGATTTGAAAATCTTCTCTACAACTTACAAAGACTTACAGCTGTTACATAACTTGTTCATTTATAATGTAAATTGAAGTAAGTCATTCATTTTAAATATAACTATAGTATTTAAAAAGATGAAGATGAAAGACAGACAAAGTAAAAAAACATGTCTCTCTCTTTGAGGTCTAAACTGGTTAGCCGGAAAACTCGAGCTGCGTGACGCTACAACAGCTAACGACTCCATAAACTCAAACGCGATGTCGCTGCTCTCCTCCATCTCAAACAGCATCTCTCTCTTATAAATTTAATAAGAACTGCAGTAAAGCTCAGCTGCAGTGCTGTGTGACATCGCTGTGTGAGCGCTGTTTAGTCTTTACAAGGTAAATCCCTCCCTTCTCTTGTCTTTTTTTAAAAGAATGAATAACAAATGGGCCAAGTACAGTACAGCATGGCTGTGTCCTTATTTTAAAATGTAAATATCCAATTTTTCAAGGGGCTGTTCACTTCTAAAGGAGAGGTCTAATATTCTTTATACAAGCATCTCTCAACACTGACAGATTTGATATTAAAGTAAAGTTGTAGACATTAGAAGTTCAATATTCAGACATTAGCAGTCATCGCGTTTCAGTGTTCATAACTTTGGTGCTTTCTGGCACATGTGTGAAAGTTAGTGTTTTGCACTGAAATCATGTTGCGGGCTTTTGCTTAAAGTCCAAAATCTGCATAATTTCAAGGAACAAGAGCAAGAGTCAAGGTAACAGACAGTAACAGTTTTATTTTTTTTCAAATGCAGATCAATTTATGTTGCGGACCTCTAAAGGAGACAAAACCAACATTAAGAAAAATCTAAAATCTGTTGCACTTTCAGAAAAGCATTAGTTCATTTTATTTTTAGTTGTTTATTTTTCCTCTGTAAAAACACAGTTAAATTGTATGAGCAGTGTTATTGTAATATAACTTATCATTTTACATTCTAAGAATTTAGTCACATTAATACAAAGAGGCATAAAACAGTATATAAGGACAATTTCCTGTGTAAAGCCTTTTATATGCGGTTTTGTTGACAATGGTCTGTTCCAAAGATGTACCTGAAGGGTGGGATGTTAGCACGATGCCCTGAGGCAGCTGAGGAAAACAGTAAATGGAAACCTGACATGTGTTCATGTGGCAGCAGTTCTTGACTCAGTGTCAGCTGGTCAGCAGCTCTCAGTATGTAATCACATTTTCAATTGCCTGAACAACTTCATGGTTGATTATCTGCCTCTTGTGGAGGAGACGGGCAACACTCTGAATGCGGATGGATGTGTTGATCTGGAGAGCCGGTGGTTAAAATGTGACCTCTCATCAAAGGAGAGTGCAGACTCTCTGGGCTAAGGGTGTGTGTTGTCACCTGTCAGTAGTGTTTTTATTTCAATTTACATAAGATGAAGCAATCACTAACTAATACTTTTCTGCATGTCTGATGTGAGGCTGAAGAGTCCAATAGTGTGTCTCTGTAGTGGGTCAGTCTGGCCGACACGTCCCTGTTGCAGGTAACTGTGGAGATGTGTTGGCAGGTATGCAGGAAACAGTTAGAGGTTACACCAACATCATCTCAGAGGTGTAGTTATGGCAACAGCTACACAGTACAATAATGATAAATAATTTATTCGGCCAATTACTGAACAAGAAACTGATTATACAGAACATTTAATTGTAACTTGTGTTGTGACATTCCAACATTTTGTAAATACACAGTAGGACCTGGAGCAGAAGCCAATATTTTCCAAGTGAGACAAAACTATATGACCAGGAGGATTTGCTATAATGCAATCTGTGGATCAGAATGGTTGTAATAGCCTCAGTCTCACTGACCAGCGGACCACTACAACTTTATGTTCTGAGCAAGCTAGCTGCTGGGTGCTAGTCAAAGTTACACAACGTTGCCAAGCCGATGAATTTCTGCATTTTGACCATTTCTTATTAACACGTAGCTTTATCACTAACTTCAGGGCCTGTCTATCGAGTAGATTTACATACAGCTGCAACGCATACATACCGGCGAGGATCATGGAGCAGTACGGGCTTCTGTATAACAACAAAGCCAACACTAGCTGAGCTAGCACTGAAGTATAAAGTTCTACAAAAACAATATGAAAAACAATTTCCAGCATCCATCCTATTCTCGTTATTTTGTTGGCTTCAAATGAGGCTTAACGCTTTCTCTTGACTGTCCTTATATATATTACAACATTAATGTTAGTCCAACATCGCCCCTGCCTGTGGGAGTACAATAGACGCTCACTACATAAGCTGTGCAACATGCTAACAACAACTTCAAAGGCTAACCTACAAAATCAACACTAAAATAACATAAGACATGGTAAAACGGACATCTCCCAAATTTGAAGTTGGGTGTCGGACAGACAGTATCGATTGATCCTTGAGCTTGAACGTTACCAGTTAGCCCAGAGTAAAATGCACAAAAATGTTGTCATCACAATAAACTTTATATATTTTAACAAGGCCAGACTGCAAGGTAGATTTCAGTGTGTCACCTACCTGGAGATGTTGCTGTGTTACATAGTGAAGTAGATAAGTAATAGTGTTGTGTCGTTCAAAGAACGTTTCGTTCATTTGACCTAATCGTGTATGTGACTCAGGAGGAACGGGTTGTCTCAGTGAGTAATTCGTTCATTTTCACGCATGCATGAATAGTCTTGGACTCGTTCACTCGTTACACAGCAGCTGCAAGGTCTCCGTCAGCACAGGAAACAGAATTGATTAGTTCAGGACTCATAACTGTGGTTCTCTGGGTTTGAGTCGTTCATTTGTCACGTGACAGCTGGCTACATGGCTGTGGTAAGCAGGCAGCACAGGAAACAGAATTGATTAGTTCACGACTTATAACTGTGGGTCTCTGGGTTTGAGTCGTTCATTTTTTACGTGACATCTCGGCTACTGTGGAGCAGGAATTAACTAATCGTTCAGCGCTCACATGGGTCCTCCTCAGAGTCTGTCTTCACTCAGCAGGCTGACTTAGCCAGCACCGGGGAATGAGAGGCAAGTCTGTTGTCAGGTCACTGGACTGACATATATCTAATATCTATTTTGATAATTTTGTGACATTTAATAAAGCATAACGTTATTACAGCGCAGTTACGTTGTGCTAAGTTATAGTTTTAACACAGCCGCACCGTAACTTTAGTCCTGCTAGTGTTTACAGCCAACAGCTGATGAGAGTTGTTCTGGGTCCACTTCAGAGCCCTGACAGGGTTCTACCGGGAGCTGAATTACCACAGAGTTCGTTTCCTCTCCAAAACAAACGGACCCAGACATTAAACCATTAAAACACAGCCACAAAGCAACGTTAGCGTTAGCCCTGTGGTTTGTTTACAGCTAACAGCTGATCTGGTCCGCCAGAGAATGCAACTTAACTTTTACCATTTATTTATCTACAGAGCCCTGCTGTTGTTTCACCGCTCCTCACTGGTGAGCACTGATGTGCAGTGCTTGAGATTATTATTAAATTTGTAAAATTTTAATAAGAGTGTGTTTTATTCATTTAGTGTGTCAAGCTTATTACTTCAATATATTCCCTGTAAATCTGATGTTAATATATAGATTTTACTCATGGATAGGCGTTAGGCTACTGTATGAATGAGCACTTTAGCGATATAGTGATAGTAATTATAATTATTATATATATGGCTGGTCTGGTTGTATACTCAGGAAAGATTGTGAAAATGGACGGATTTAGCTGGAGTAGTGGCTTAATCGAAAATTGACAACATATTTCTGTGTTTTTACATGGTTTGAATTTGGTTGTGGCTCCATGGGGCTTTATAGAACCATGACAGAGAAAGATCAAGAGGTGAATTTGTGCATTATACTTTGTCAATTAGAGCAAGCCAGGCAGCTTTCTGTGTTTGAGAACTGCGCTGTTTTTTTTTATTTTATTTGCCCACTAGAGGGCTGCAGCACCGCAATAACCAGCCTAGTTAAAATGAACGAAATGACACAAAAAAATCTTAGTTAATTTTAATGAATGAGATTTGGTGACTCGAGTATTTCAAAAGAGTGACTTTTCCCATCACTAATAAGTAATGGAAGACAAGGCTGGACTACAATCAAGGCATTTCAGACAGTTCAGGAGCTGTTTTTTCTCTCAGAGAATAACTCCCTGTGGCGTGGACTTTAGGTTTTGTACGTTTGCAGACATTTACATGTAGCAAAAAGCTATAGGCTATATACCACACTAAAGGAAATGGAAAACTCCAAAAAGCATAATGTGGCCTCTTTAATGTCCAATGCTGACATTTTTACAATGGTTTCTGATGTGCATGGCAACTATGGTAATTAAAGTTAAAGTTAGATAAGATTTGTGGTTATGACAAATAAACTGCGGTTAAGGTGTGGTTGAGGTTAACCAACACTTGGCTAGGAATGAGGAAAGATTGTGGTTGTGGTTATAGAAAGAAAATTATCAACTGTTGGATTGAGATACGAACTGTAGTGTCTTGCACTTTACTTTACTTCGTACATTAACACTGAATGTTGGCATTGGACTGAAAATGTGGGCTGCAGAACTGTCCAATATGAATGTAATTGATAGGAAACTGGGCTAGAACAGTGCAGTCAGTAGCAAAGTGTTAGCATCCGTCATGTTATCTACCGCCTTACTAAGTTCTTGACTTATTCATTGGTGTGTCTAATGTTGCCCCTCCATTAAAAGCTGTGTTAAAAACTGGGTTTAACCCCACCAATGAGATTAGGCCTGCTTCTGCCCTCAGAGGAACTCTGCCTGCAGAGAAATGTGTGTACAAGTGAAACTCCACTGTGCGACAAAGCCACACTGGATTTATTAAAATCCACTCCAAAATGTACTCATGCTTTATCCGGCAGAAAACGAGAGCACCGTTTATACCTCTTGGCTCCGGTCGTGAGGCGGCTGAGGAGACGAGCACCCAGTGTACTTTAAATGTGTGAAATGTGGCGAGGAGAGGCAGCAGGGACCACCAGGTGCTGCCTCTCCACCTCGAGCCGGCCGAGGAGCGCTTCTCCTCTCCAATAACCCAAAGGGCTGAGATGCCACTCGCAGCAGCCGAGCCAAAAGACATTTCAAGTGTGCACTTCAAAGGGGACTTGGATTATGTTTGCGCACAGTCTATCCTGAGGGGATCCTTTGAAGGGAAACTTACTGCAGAGCCACTGGTGGCCGCTCAGTGTGTTTGTTTGTCTAAACCCATTTTACTCACTGCTCCTGCCACTGTGCTGTGGTGCAAAAGTTTCAATGTAAACAGAATTTAAAGAGTTTTATTCCAAAAAGTACAGAATATGAAGCTTAAGTTCCAAGTTTCTAAAACAAGGAGCATCCGGTCTGTATAGAAATATATCTTAAATACCTGCGGTGTTGTGGCACAAAATAACATAACTCATAACGATAATGTAGCTATCCACTTCCATGGATTGCACTTACCAAACTTTAAGAGTTTCCTGTAAGGAAAGGAATGTATACCATACCATGGCGGAAGAAGTGCTTTCAGATTTCTAAAATACAGCTGAAAGGTTTATAAAATGGTTTGCTCTTATGTTAAATATACAGTAGGTAGTTAGTTCACTAAAACATGCAAAACAACTGGTCTTTTTAATGACTGTGACATGGTTATAAGTACAATGTACACATTTATATTTTTGTGGTGAACCTGAAACATGGTTTTAAAATGTTTAGACTGTAATTTTAGCTGCCAAAGACTCAAATAACACATACCCACATAATACGTACGACATTGTATTCATAAAATGACTCTACCATGGGATGAAATGCTACTCAGAAATACTGGAGAGAGAAATCCAGTTTGTCGTTTTGTAAACCAAAGTCATTTGCAGGTTTCCAGCGACCCACTGTAACATCGACTTTCAATTCAGTTCAACATATCAGCATGTGTCACTGCAGTAATGCAAAGGTGGCTGCTGATTAGCAGCTAACAAATTGCACGGCGTTGAGGGGAGGCAACCAACATCTGTAGGACACCTGCACCCGCGGATGCCAGGATATGAAACACCGCTGAAAAAAAGGGACGTCAGGGTGTTAGGGAAACCGAAACAACAGCAACTCTGGCAGGCGATTATCATAATTAAAGCCGCATCAATTAAAGGGGTCAATCACTGCACGGCTGCCACCTTCCTCCGCAGATGGTGAAATTTGTTTAGGGCTGCCTCCTCCTGACTGACACCGCAGAGGGACAGAGACAGAGCTGCACTTATACCAACACTATGATAACTACACAGACGTAAGAGCAGGACTCCCCGAGAATTAACTTAAAAATACAGTGAGTTTAAAGCATTTATGGCATTGTCAATCAGGTTTCAGCTCTCTTTCCTGCTGGACCAATAAATTCAACAATAGTCAATCCCAGAAGCACCCATAGTCTGCCCTTTCCATCTTTTGCCTTGTAAAAACACATAGACACAAGGTTTACTTGATGACCTCACAGATTTCACTATTTGTTTTTTTATTGATATACAGTACACAGCACCAAGGTGGAATCAAATCTTTATGAGAGAGACTTGATTTTGGTCATATTTCTTCTACATATTTATAAAAACATGTTTCATTATATAAATGAATAATGTGGATTCTGTTTGGGGTTGAACTTTGGAGCCTCTGTTGTCCCATTTGGAACTGTGGTAGACATTCTCAGGCAAGTAAGAAGCTTTGTAGTGAAGTAAATTATAGTGTTTTGGTCTAGATTGATCAGTGTAGTGAAAACTGATGATAAATAGTCTAGATTTAAAATGGCTTCTCTAAAAACTTTAGGATACTGCCAAATGACGACATGGTCGAGTATTGGTAGGCTATTATCATTTTGATGGATAATTATTGGTATAGATAAGAACATACTATGTGGACATTAAGGCTATATTACTGTAATATTCTACTGTATGGGAGTAGTCTAGGATTTAGGAATGGAAGGGTTAAAAATACTAAACATTTTCTGTGGGAGAAGAATGTTCTTCTATTTACAATAGGATAAAGCAATTTTGTTTCCACTATCATCATGTGACAGTTCACCCATGACTGCTTGCTTTTTTTTAAAAACCCTGTAGTGGCCAAGTGTTCATGTATATTGGCATGGCAGCAATTGCAGTATCCACATTTAAAATACAATTATTTGTGTTTGCTTGTTGGGCTAACTTAACATGAGAAGTTAAGGTTACAGTAGTAAAGCTGCAATATTTAGCTTTTTTGACTTGAACTGAGAGGTATTTCCATTTGCAGAGAGATGCTCTGAACTCCAGCAGCTGCAGAGTGAAGCAGGATTCGCTCTTTGTCCCTGAGGTCCACCTTGAAGCAATGGGGAGTGATCAGCTGCGGCAGCTTTGGCCAAGGTGGGCGCTGCATAGCCTGCATTTTGCATTTTAATCATGCCAGCCTGGTGACAGCAACTGCAAAAGACGATCAGTTAGACTGATGTACTATGAGGCAGATAAATATTGTCGTGTAGTGTTGAAAACATTATATTTATTCATGTAATTTTCCACCAGTCTTGACAGAGCTGATCTGATATCAGTGGCTACAAATCACAAAATATTAGGATCTGCCCTTTCATTGACACTTTAGAGTGAGAGTTTCTTGGGTGATGATGAACATATTAACCAATGCTGGGGTTAAACATGACTAAGTGTTCTCGGATTATCTCGCTGTGAGCTCATCTCGCCGCCCAATAAGTGCAGTAAACAAAAAGGCCGGAGCTGTAACTTAACTTTCTCTCTGGAACCGGGTATAAAGCTGCCACCGACCTGAAAGGGGACATGTGGGTGGGTACAGCGGCCGCGGGGTCCCGGCGGGGTGCCGGCTTCCACCCAAGATGAGGACTGACACCGGGGTTCAGGGGTTAATTTGTGTAACAGGCGAATTTGCATACAAATGAAAAATGACAGAATTTTTCTGTTCTCCGCAACTTTCAATGTCATCCGCATCAAGCCGGCCCTATCTGCCGCTCCCCCCCATTCCCCCTGCACACCGTTTGAAGAATATTCATTACTTGTGAAGCTGGGGCACCTTGTTTGCTATTAATCTCCACCGCAGGTCAATGACTTAATTTGCTCAACTTTATCAGTGGTGCCATTCACTTTTTCTTTCTTCCTCCGCCCGTCCGTTCCCTTTGTAGCTTTTTCTAAAGTGTTCTCATTGCTTCTCTTCATAGAGACCGGCTAAGCTTTTTAAAGCACAACAAAGGCACAGTAACTCTGGTCTCTGAAAGAGTTTTGAAGACATAAATGAATTACTTGAGAGGGAAATATACGCCGGCCCTCTAGATTGCTCCTTCTTCTCTCCTCCTGCGACTTCTAGAGAGATTTCCACTCAAATCTCTCTTTTTTTCTCCTCCCCTCCTCTCTTAGTCTTGATTGGATTGATTGTTTTTCTAATCCAGGGGAAATTACTTGCAAATAGGGGTCTCATAATCATGGTGAAAATAGTGAAGAAAGGAGTAAAATGACAAGAACTTTCCACTGATAGGAAAACAGAAAGACATAGGTGAATTCTGCGTACAGTGTCTTGTGTCTACTTTTTTTCCAATTAAAGGCCTTTTCAGATAAAACCACAGACCATACTGAAGCCATATTTGATCTTAGACATTCTTTAAACACATTTACAGATAATTTCATGAAGCATGTCCCATGGGAATGGATTTAAACTAGATTAATCAGATATCGAATTACAAATCAAGTCAATTAGTCCTTACCAATACTATCTCTACCCGAGTCTTCAACCTTTGTGCCACATACAGTCAAGCACAGTGAAGAACTTTAACATACTGCTAGTACTGTGAAAATGTACATGAATATGAACTTGTAATATACGTATCAGTAGATTAGACTCTTATCTCTTTGGCCATTGTGGTCATTTTCCAAAAGAACACCTTGTCAATAAAACACTCCAGGTACAAGTCATGGCAGAGTATACAACTGAAACCTAAAAGCTGCATTTATTTATTTTTTTTTTTTTGGCCACTCGGGGGCAGCAGAACAAGCTGTAAACACAACACTGACATATCATCACTTTATAAAGTTGATGTGGCTGTTAACAACCACTTGACTAATTACACAGTCAGCAGACACATAGCAACATTGGCTTTAATTTGGAGAATTTGATGAATCTAGGTCCAATATTCAGTCTTACATGAGCTCTGTTTTGGTGTCCAACAACTTCTGTCACTGGGAGCGACATCTTTCACATTAGATGTTGGCATTTTTTTTTTCATTAATGAATGTCAGACTTAACATTAGTGCAACTTTAAAATACTTAAAAATATTGTTCAAATTTTTTTTTTATTTGGGCGGACTACTCCCTAAAGGTCTTTTGAGGGGCTCTTGAATCACTACCTCAGTCAGATGGAAGAAGTGACTTGGTCTAGTTTAGCTCCAGTGTGCATTTCAAACAGTCAAGCTTATTTAAACAAAGTATCTCAGCACATTTTACTTCCTCATAAATGGACTAAAATACTTAGATTGTATACTCTGTGGATTAAACATTTATTTTAATCCCTAATCGGTTAAGCCTGAACTCACCAAACAAAATAGAAGTGCGTAGTTGGGCTTTCCTTAGGCATGCATGAAGTATAAAACAAATAGTGGGGGAATTAAATGCTTCACATTCTATATTGTGGAGTATTAACTAGGCATTACACAGTATCTGAGAATCCATACGTTTGTTGATCTCAACATAAGATGCACGTCTGGCGGAGTGGTGACATTTGTTTACTATAAGCAATATTTGAGAATCTGTAAGTGAATCCGTACATATGAGCAACCACAGCAACATTAGAAGTAACTGTAACTTTGGTTGTTTGCCTCCTGCAGGCATTTTGAACCACTGAATCCAAATTTCCAGCTTCATTAAATAGCCCCACTCCTCCCTCTTTCCAGGAGAGGAAAGTTGAATGGAAGGCAGGAAGAAAGTGCAAGAGAGAAAGTATAAAGCATAAAGCAAGAGAGTGAGAGAGAAAAAATGTCTTGTGAACCATTGTTTGGATCTTTATGCAAAAACACCCTTTGCGTTTCAAACTCTTGATCCCCCATAGGCAAAGGAGAGGAGCGTATTGATCTGCGCTGAGAGGAGACAGCCCTTTCATCATGCTTCCTCCTCACCTTAGACAGCTTTGAGGGGGCTCCTTAAGGATCGTAGCACCCTTGCCTGGCTACCGGCCAGAGATTAGATGGTGATAACCTACCCAACCCTAATAGGTAGTGAACAAAATCAGAGGCTGTCTAATTAGAGCTGATCAAAGCCGAGGACTTTATCCCCAAAACAAACCTGCACATTTGAATGTGCTTAGGAGAGGGGAATGCAAAGAGTGGAGGAGGTGAAGGTGGAAAGAGGAGGGGAGAAGTTGGAGGTTTTGAGAGTCTTGGAGACATAGTGGTTTTCTTTTTTTTTGATGATGATGATGATATGCACAGCCTCGCCCGTTCACCATTTCTTCTGTTCTACTTCATTTGCATGCAGATGTGTAAGCACAGAGAGGGCTGTGAGCAAGTGGTTATTCATGAGTGGGAGGTTTTGGCGTACATCTCTACATACCTGTACACATAAAAGTCAATCTGCATTTGTGTTCAAATTGCTCAATTTTACCTTATGAGATTATAGTAAGGTATTTTTTTTCATGCAAACAGGAATATTGTCGTTACTTAATGTGACTTACCTTAATATTGATCAGCTAAAAGCCTAAATTGTGAATTATGTATACCCAACCTTTATACATAGAGATCTACAAAAGTCAAAGTCATTTGACTCCCCACTGTCAGCACTTGATCAGCACAGTTTTCCAACACTGCAAACTGAGGGACCGTAGATCTTTCTTATTTGTTCAAATAGAATTCTGCTGGTAGCAGACCAGTGACATATCACATGTATCATAACATCCATACCCATTGTTTTCTACTCAAGACCACATAGTGACAACATCTTGTCAACTTCTTAGGTTGCTCCACTCTGCGCAGAATAATAAAACAGAAAAACAGAAGTAAACAAGGAGCAACAGAGGTTAGCTGCAGTTAGCTCATACTTGCTAACCCTCCCGATTTTCACAGGAGACTCCCATGTTTCATTGTCCTCTCACAGTTTCCGGTCACATTTCTTCCGAATTATGACAAGTGTTCACAACTTTCTGTCCTATTCATGACGGTTTCTGCCGCCTTACAACACATCTGCCTCACAAGTAAACGAGTTTGGCTGTTCACAATGTTATAAAAAGATCAGATCTGAGTGACATATGAGCAAAAATATCGGATTTGGGTCAGTTTGGCCTTCAGTCTGAACACAGCCTTTGTAAATTGTTGCCGTCCAGAACAACTTCAATGCTCCTTGTCATTTATTCTCTAAGTCTTTGGAGCTCTGCTGGAGGGAACATCATTCTTCCAAAAGTCATCTCTCCAAAATCTCCAGTTGTATATGATTCACATCATCTTCATGTCCATCATACCATTCAGAAAGGCATTTGGCCTGTAATTTGCATTCGGTCCTTTTGCTTTACCTTAATTTTCTTGCCCATCCGTACACCCTCACAAGTTTCTTTTGAAGGCAGCATCTGTTCTGAAATCAAAGTCTTTCCTTTTGGTTTCTTTTGAGACCAGTTGCCCCTCTAACCACAATGAAGTCATCAAGCCGTTGCTTCAAAAAGCCAAATCTGAAGCCTGTCTGACTGCACTTTGAGATAAGAATCTTCCTAAAGGTTTTCTGTGCGGGAAAAGTCGGCAAAAGTCATAAGTGAAAGCAATTAGTGTGATTGCAGAAAGGAAGGAGAAAAGTGCAAATGTTTCACTACTCAAGACATCATACAGTAAGCACTGTATGGCGGGAACTAGACTGAAGTATGAGTGTCTAGGTGCTTGTGATGAACGTTGTAGATCGAGATGTAAACGAGCGATGGCAGCAAGTATGGCCGAGATCCAACCACTTTTCCTGACGGTGTTAAATTTGCCTTTGACCACTTGTAACCTTTCTTCTCACCGTCACATTGCCCTTTGTTTTGGTGATTTTGGCGTTCCGTTGGGCTAGTTTGTTTTTTGACAGCCAATGTATGCAATACACTCATTCGTCACATCATACTAATTTGCTCTTCCAATCAGAATTGAAGTGTTTTTTTCATTAGGCGCTGTTTCTGTGAGGACAGGAGCCAAGTAGTGCTGATGAGGCCAAAATGCAGCAGCAAATGTGTCCAACCTCATCCCATTTACTGTCAGACGTCCCCCAGAAGTATGATGCAAATGTACAAATTGCCACGACTGTGAATGTATTTGAAATTTGATCACATTTCATACCCGCACACTCGGCCTCTGCCCCCAGAACTTCACACACCATCAAAAAAACATACAACGCCCTGAGTTTTCTCCTAATGAATTCCTGATAAAGGAAAGTTTATTTTTCCATATTTACTTTTTGTATTACATTTACACATTTCCAGCCATTCAAGGCCACCAAGATATATGTGCCATGTCCTAATCTTAATGGAAGGAGCACATTTGGCAGTCCGGTTTTGCATACATTTCCCAAAATATTAGATGCGAGTGTTTGGCCTCACAGCTCAGGAAAGTTCAGTCTTTTTAACACACAAACTAGTTGAACACAGACCATTTTCTCATACTGTGAATTCACTTTCAACTGTCTCTTTGCTCTGTATTTCAGATCTCGTCTACCTGTGATCCTTGACACGTGGGAGCCCTCTTTCCTCTGGCATTAAACATATGCTCCGAACATATGTTCCATGCAACATATGCTCCGCTAAAGCTGCTGTTAACTTCTTTTTTGTGCCAATATAGAATCCTTGATGTTAAAATAAGATCTGAAGTATTCAGCACCGTTCTAAGAATTTCGATGAACCCCGGGGATCAACTCGAAGAAAAATGGGGAATTTCATGCCTGTAAGGCAAAATAGCATCCAGGGAAGTCATATGATGATGATGATGATGATAACATTTTGTCAGATCGAGTATGAAATATGAGTACAGTGTGTTTCTGCCTTCTTATTCAACTACATGTCTATGTGTGTGTGTCCAACATGCAGTGACTGTGTGTCTTGCAGGGAGGATTATTACCCATTGCCTCCGTGCATTAAGCCTCCCCTCATCCAGTGCCAAAGGCCTGACCCAAATATGGCTAAAAGACAACATGTGACCTGCTTAGCGTTTCACCCCCCGGCTCCGCTAGCTCCAGGCTGTGGTGGCGGCGGTGATGGTGGCCCGGGTGTGTGTGTTGGGGGGTTGCGGTGTGCAGAGAAGGTGGGGGTAGGGGTTGGGGGGTTCAGTCTATTAGTGGGAGAAAGCACAGATGCCGGCAGATGGCTAACATATTGTCCAGAGCTGACCCGAATTCAGAATAATTACTGGAAAGTTCAGCGCTCTCAGGTCTGTAGCCTGACTGCACCTCCAGTCACCGACTGTTGAAATGAACAGTACTAAGCAGAATTAGTGGACAGTTCTTCTGTTCATTAATTTAAATGTGATGCTGAAAAGAAACTTTACAGAACCTTCCTATTGTGTTTTTTGAAGAATTGCACGCCTACATAAACTTAAATAAAGTTTAAAATAACAAACATCAGAAATTCAGTCATGGAGGTTTATATCCAGGTCAAAAACATTTTTGGGAAATGGAACAGTTGCTTGTAAAAACATTACTTATCACACCATTTTTGTGGTGATCGTGTGGTTTGGAATTATTTCAGTTCTGAACCGGTTAAACGCGAAACTACAGATTGCAGAAGTCTCTTTTTTTTTTGTTAAATGATTCAGGTTTTACCCCGCGACCCTGTAAGCACGATAAGCGGTTGACGATGGATGGATGGATAGATTCAGGTTTTAAGGTTCATTAAAGAGCTTCATTGCCAACGTCGACAAAATTGCAGTTGCAACTCACAATATAAAAAACTCATATACAAATATTTAATAAGATAAGACTTTAGTTATTTAACACAAGAAAAATACTGTTTTGATATTGCATACTGCATTTGTCAATAAATGCATACAGGAAATAGCTGTACTTATTTGTAAATCAAGTGAAAAGATCTGCCATTGCAGTAAGTTTGTCTTGATTCTACTTTCTAGTTTGGAGACAGAGACACTCATTGCTAAAAAATGTTGAAACAAGTGCAATTCTGTTGGAAACAGGTTAAAATTCTTACTGCACAGACAGATTTTGTCATTTGTTTTTAGAAAATAAGGTTTTAGGGCTCATTTATAGACAGGAATGAGTTGATAAGATGGAGATTTCTGCTTTGATAAAGAGCAGAAGCACAGTTATGAAAGCTTTTATCGGAGAGCAGTAAAGTGCTGCTCACTTTAGAGGTACGCGCTTATGAGGTGTAACATTAAATCTGTAAACACCCCCACTTAATGACCGCAAAATAGCAACTTTAAAGCACTTGGTGATTCCTGTTTGTGTTTCTAAAAACGCATAGACCTTCTTATGAAAATCTGAATTATTTTATGCTCCTATTTAAATGATGTGCAGCAGTTTGTGGTGCAGAAACATAAATAACTAAAAAGTAAAGAAATGTACGGACATACCACTGTATATTCACACATGCAACAATTTATACTTTTGTGTCAGCCTTTCATTGCTGAAACTGAGCTGTTTATGAAACTAAACTCTATCTTGTGATCCACCCCACTGCTCCCCGATCACACACACATCCACAAACACACACGGATGCAAATGTGTCTTTTGGCTATGAAAAAGCTGTCTGTACTCATTTGTAGTCTCCGGCCTGAGGATAAATCAGATCACGGTGATGGCGGCTACCAACCCCCCACCACCCACCCCTTCCCGCTCTGCTAACCACCCCTTCCGCAGCTCGTGGCTACTGGCCCAGCCGTGGCGCAGGTAGCGCTGGAGGGGGCCCCGTTCAGTCAGCAGGCTGCAGATGCTGCTCTCAATTGGGCTCTGTGTCCCCCAAACGTCCCCGATGCCAGGAGACCAGACACATTACTGCTGGAGTGACATTAAAACCAACAGAGAGGAATATAAACCTCTGTACTCACCATGCAAACAGTCACATGAGTCTCCATGTAGAAATATGAGTAAATATAGTCCTATTACGCCCTCAGTGGCAGTAGACACACAGAAATGTATTGTTTATGTTGCTATAATATGAATCTAGCTGTCATTGATGTCTCGTTGACGGAATTTATTCACCGGCGCACAATTGATATGGATCGTGAGTCGACCTGCAACAGTCTGCAGACATTAATGTAAACAAGGTTGATGTTTGCTGAGGCGCAGTTATCAGCATCCTCGTATGTTCAAAGCAGTGTACAGCGGTTACAATAACAGACAAAACAAGCCTGTGGCCCGACGACGGATGAATATACATTAACTCATAGCAGCGCTCCCATTTTGAAAGGCCAGAATTCATTTCATGCTAATGATAATGACAATAATTCACAATGGACAAGAGAGGAGGCTTTGCAAAACAACTGCGTTCCCCTCTTAATATGATCAGTCGTGATGATTTTCTCCATGATAATGATTCATCAAACGAATCTGCGGCGGTCACAAAAGGGCTCAAGTCATTAATAAAAGAACAGAGTCAAAGCACCTTGGGGATCTTTTTTTTTTTTTTTTTCCCTCTCCGTGCATTCGGACCTACTTATCATTAAAGCAAGTAAAAAGTGACTGCCACATCTGAATGAAATCTCATTGTTGGATTTCAAGATGTGAATAAAATCCCATTTCAAATTAGGCCCCATTAGCATCACTAAGAGTCGTAAGATTCGGGTGACCTTTTCGTTCCGGATATCTGGATCTTGGAAGTTTTTCTCCCTCCATTTACAGAAGTGTGAAGGGAAGGTCTTCTCTCTTTTTTCTTCTTTCTTCCTTTGGATTTAGGGCAATGATGAAGCTGCACGTAGAGATTTGACCTCCAAATGGAGATGTTATATTTCTTTCTGTAGTTCTCTTTTTTAACTTTTAGAGGAGAATTTTACCTTTTTTTAGAAACAAAGATCCGTTTACATGTGTTGAGGAGTCCTACTGTATCAACAGAAAAGTTTCAAACTGCGGATATAGAGTTAGAAAGACCAGGCAGGGAAGGTCTAATGAAAAATGCTATTCAGTTGCATTATGGGAATTGTAGCACCCAGCAATGTTTTTGTTTAACACTGCTTTGCTGCTTCCATTTTGACCACTTTTTCTCTCCCAAGTTCCTCGACTTTATTAAAGTGCAACAACAACATTTTTTTCCCTTTGGTTGGCAATCAGAGAGGACAGCAAACATTTCATTTTATAGTTCAACTTGATGGCAATAAAGCTTTGACTATTGAATTTAAAATGTTGTTAAATGTTAAAAAGAGTCATTCTTTCTTGCACCTCCTGGATGCATTTTCCACTTCTAAATATGAGTAGTTTCTGTGTTTTCTTATTGGGTTGCATTGTTGGACAGTAGATACTCAACTCAACTGACAAAAAACTGAGCAATTTATGTAGGACATGTGAATTAACAAGCTGCATAATTAAGACATAGCTAAAATCAGAATTTAGAGCTGCAAAGTGTAATATCCAATACTTATGCATTTGACTCATAACAGTTCAAAATAGCACTGTAGCAGCAAGACAGAGGGTCAGTGACCTTTGGGGAGGTGTTCTACGGGGAGAGCAGTGATTGGTGGTCACCACAAAAGGGAAAAACTTTCCTGAAATGGAAGATTTAATAATGATTGCTTTATAGCAGGAACAAGAAGGATTCAATGAAATGGAATCTATTCATCTGAAATTTTCAATGGCTCTTGAATATTACTGGAAATGTACTTGTTTTTTTGAAATGAGACTGAACTCAAGATTGGGAGAGAATGAGCAGGAAAGGAACAGAGGAAGAACAATAAAGGGTGGTGGGGGGGGGGTGGGGGGGGTGCAGAGGTTCCGAGGTCAGACCGATAAACAAACAACGCATCGATTTCCTGCCGCTCTCTGCCATTCCTAGGGAAACCCCCTCGCCTCCACCGTCCGGTTGCACTCATCTTCACTTATGTTAAAAACACTCCTCGCGGGGGGAAGCCCATCCTCCGCCTCTACACCTCCCCCACCCCCTTCTCACTGGTTAATAGCATCCTTCGGACATCTCCCGGGGACGGTGCATCTGAGGTGAACCACTACCAGAGATTGGTAATCATTTTATTAGAGGAAGTCAGAGCTGGGCTTCCACTCGGAGAGACAGATAAATGGTTGGGCCTGCGGATCCGAAGCTCTCAGCCTGTTTACATGAAGGAAATAAACAGCGAAGCAAAGCACAGATCTATTTCTGTATAATGCCTCATGCTTTAACGGCAGTATGGAATTATTATTTGCACTTATAAAAGGAGGAATTCACCTCATAACACTCTTGTAAAACAGCTACTTGTGATATGTGGCCCCATTTAACATTGTCTGTAAATACCTGGTCAAACATGGACAACATGATGTCATGTCCAAATTCACAATTCACCAAGTTTACAAGACTCAAATGGACTTCAAAGGACTCCACTTTGGGTAGAAAATTTCTCAAGACTTTTCTTGGAAAATGAGAATCAAAATCACTGTAGCCCAAATCTACCATATTTGTTGCGTTGTCCCTTTTTGAAATACAGAATACGTTTATAAATGTAGTTTGTATTTTGAACTCCTATATTCACTTAACTATTTGGAAAGAAAAATGTGACCACCTCACCAATGTCAGGATCCTCAGCTGAGGCTTGAAAAGTAAATATAGTATCAGTGTCCCTTTCCTTTATTATGTAATAATAATAAATTACAGGGAGTAAGATGAAAGTAATTGGTAAAAGAAAGGAGTTATATCTCTTTTTTGTGCTTGTAATAGGTTTGTAAAGTGAAAAAAGTCCACCCAAAGGGAGTTCCCATCTCCCACAGAAAACACTGCTCGGAATTGCCTGAAAACAGCTCGATTGTAGTCCAGCATTTTTCTTCTGTAACCTACAGTATATGCATCACTATAAAACACGCGTCATAATGCTCACCTAGCGGCTAGTGTGGCACACCCTCAAAAACACTGTTGGAGAGACGCACTCAGCTGCAGCACACACACTGACAAGATATCCATCCACTGCCTCCCCTCACCCACACCCTCCCTACCAAACGTTAGATACCAGTGCACTGTTAAAACGTTACGTATGACAGATTTTTTTTTACAATTTAATAACTCAACACTCTCAAACATCTTGCTCCAGTCCAGGTTGTGAAGCTGGTTTGGGTTGTTCTGCCTGTGTTTCGGGATCAGACTCGGGCCCAACCATGTACATTACCTATGTAGTGCTCATGTGCAACTCTCTATTATGCTCTATTAGAAGTGAGATGCTTCTCTCTGTAGCTAAAACGAAGCATTCGACACACAGGGTTAAAAGAGGATCTGCAGCAATGTGCAGAATGACAAAAATATCTGTTCTTGTACAACCCTTAAATAAAAGCACAAACCTGAAAATATGACCACTTTAAAAGTATGTGTCAACCGTCTTGTCAATGTTAATACCACTGAAAACCAATCAAGAAACTGGTGTACGAACAAACAAAAAAAACCTGAAGTCCAGTCTCATAACACATTATTTCAATTTTT